CTCTACCCCTTACTATGCTTTCATTTCCCACCTGTCTCATATATGCATTCCTAAAACCACACATGAGGCACTGGCACACCCAGAGTGGCGTAAAGCCATGTTGGCTGAGATGGAGGCTCTTCATTCTAGTGGGACGTGGGACTTAGTCCCCCTTCCCACTGGAAAATCAGTGGTGGGATGTCGGTGGATTTACACAGTTAAAGTTGGGCCTGATGGGAAGATTGATCGTTTTAAAGCACGCCTTGTGGCAAAAGGGTATACTCAAATATATGGTTTGGATTACACTGACACTTTTTCTCCTGTAGCAAAGATTGCATCAGTTCGTTTGGTTTTATCCATGGCAGCAATGAGCCGCTGGCCATTGTTCCAATTGGATATTAAAAACGCATTCCTTCACGGAGATCTGCACGAGGAAGTTTATATGGAGCAACCACCTGGATTTGTTGCTCAGGGGGAGTCTGGTATGGTGTGCAGATTACGTCGTTCATTATATGGCTTGAAGCAATCTCCACGTGCATGGTTTGGGAGGTTTAGTGACGTTGTCTGCAGCTTTGGCATGATTCGCAGTGATGTCGATCACTCTATATTCTACAGACATTCTGCTGGCAACAAATGTATTTATCTTGTTGTGTATGTTGATGACATTGTCATTACAGGTAGCGATGATCAAGGAATTGCGCTCCTCAAGCAACATCTCTTTAGCAAATTTCAAACAAAAGACTTAGGAAAGTTGAGATACTTCCTTGGCATTGAGGTTGCACAGTCTCAAGATGGAATTGCTCTCTCACAAAGAAAGTATGCCTTGGATATTCTTGAGGAAACAGGATTGCTAGATTGCAGGCCGGTGGATACACCAATGGATCCGAACGTTAAACTATTATCAGAACAGGGAGATCTTTTGCCCAACAAGGAAAAATATAGAAGACTCATCGGCAAATTGAATTATCTTACCATCACAAGACCAGATCTTTCATTTGCGGTAAGTGTTCTTAGTCAGTTTCTTGATAAGCCATGTACTGGACACTGGGATGCAGCTATCCGAGTTTTAAGATACATCAAGAAAACTCCAGGGCAAGGGTTGTTGTTTGAAGATCGAGGCCACCATGATATTGTGGGATATTGTGATGCAGACTGGGCCGGATGTCCTATGGATAGACGTTCCACTTCGGGATATTGCATCTTGATTGGTGGAAACTTAATTTCATGGAAAAGTAAGAAACAAGATGTGGTTGCCAGATCTAGTGCTGAAGCAGAATATCGTGCAATGGCCCTTGCTACATGTGAAATCTTATGGTTGAAGCATCTTCTCCAAGAGTTAAAATATGGGAACACAAAACCGGTTCAACTCATGTGTGATAATCAAGCTGCAATGCACATCGCATCAAATCCGGTATATCATGAGAGGACAAAACACATTGAAGTTGATTGTCATTTTATCCGAGAGAAGATCACGAGTGGACATATCATCACAAAATATGTGAAGACAACTGAACAACTAGCAGATATTTTAACTAAGTCTCTTAGAGGTCCTAGAGTGGAATATATTTGTAACAAGCTTGGTACATATGATCTATATGCTCCAGCTTGAGGGGGAGTGTGGAAACCCTAGTAGTATTGGGCTTAGCCCATTTGTATAGGAAACCCTAGTACTCTAAATATAGCTATAAATATAGCTTCTTGTATAGTATTTCATCATCAAGTATATGAAATATAATAATACTTGTTCACAAAATCCATGATTGAGAGTGTCGACCAACGCCGATTGGTGGTTGAACAGCAACTGGCAGATTTGCAAGCATCTATGGTGACACTGCTCACTCAGCTATGGTGCTTGCCCGGACTGTCGAGCGCAAATACGACCTGCCCAATCAGTCGCCTGACCTTCTAATGTGTCCCCAATCCGCCCTCTGTTCAGGATCAGTACCTTCCCCTGCTGAATCACACCCCAGCCGATGCAGCTCAATCCCAAACTTCAAGAAAATTTCTTGCGCAGAGGCTGCTATAACTGTGATGATCCGTGGGTTCGTGGCCATCAATTCAAGCGGCTATTCTTCATTGAAATTATAGACGAGGACCCGTCCGAAGAACAGTTTGAGCTAACTCTCTCTCTTCATGCCATGACGGGAATCGGGTCCATTCCACAATGCAATTAGCAGCAGCCCTTCATGACAAACCCATGAAGGTTTGTCCATCAAAGGTTGATTCCAGAAAATATCCACTCAATTCTAATAGACAGTGGCGCAAGCCACAACTTTATTTCTTCATCATTGGTCTCGCTATTACGATTGCATTCGAACAAGACAGGAAGATTTGGGGTGCAGTTTGGAGATGGGCATAGACAAGAGTCGAAGGGTGTGTGTAGACAGCTTCCTATCACATTGCCAGGGTGTGCTGTGGAGGCAGATTGCTATGTGTTTGCTTTGGGCGGGGCTGCCATCAATTTGGGAGTAGCTTGGTTGGCCACATTGGGAGAAGTACGGACAAATTGGGAAACATTGACTATGAATTTCAAGTGGGGTGGTAGTCTATACGTCAGCAAATCATGGACGGACATCGGAACCCTGATTGGGAACTTTGAGATGGCTTAGTATATTTCCGCTTCAAACTATATTTGTTAGACACATTTGAAGTCATTCCAACTTTACTATCCATATTTCATAGCATGGCTCATGAAGGAGTCGAGAAAACTCTTCAAAGCCTACGACGAGAGTTTTATTGGACCGGTATGAAGGCAACGGTGACCAACTTTGTCAGGGACTGCCAGACATACCAGAAGCACAAGTGGCTGACATTACAACCTGCAGGCTTATTACAACCACTTCTGATTCCGCATCACATTAGGGAAGATATTTCCATGGATTTTGTTGAAGGGTTTACCCAAGGTGAGGGGAAAATATGTCATTTTGGTTGTGGTGGACCGACACTCTAAAGCAGCTCATTTTATTCCATTAGGTCACCCGTATCGATCATTCTCCGTGGCCGGCATATTCTTTTCGGAAATATTTCGTCTTCATGGGCTACCGGAATCCATTCTCTTATCACGAAAAAAACTTTATGAGCACTTTCTGGCGTGAGCTATTCCGTTTATCCGGCACAAAATTGGTTTACTCCTCGCCCTCGGCCTACCACCCACAGACCAATGGACAAACAGAGATTGTCAATAACACTGTTGGGTTGTTTTACACTGTATTACCAACGATTACCCTAAGGAATGGGTCTGTTGGCTTCCCTGGATTAAGTATTGTTTCAACACTTCCTACCATTCCTGTTTAGGGGACACACCGTTTCGACTGGTTTATGGCAGGGACCCGCCCCGTATTATATCCTACCTGCTTGGGACAGCCAAGGTTGAGGGGGTTGATAGGGAATTTGGGGATCGTGATGCCCTTCTCAAAAGCGCTCAAGACAGGTTAGCTCAAGCGCAACAACGCATGAAATCTCAGTTCGACAAAGGCCATCGCGAACTCTCCTTTGAACCAGGTGCTTGGGTCTGGCTCCGATTGCAGCCATATCGCCAGCTCTCAGTGGGACGTGGGAATTCCAAGCTTTTGCAGAAATATTTTGGTCCATTTCAGGTTCTGGAGCGCATTGGTCAGACTGCCTACAAGCTCCTACTGCCAACCAATGCTTGTATCCATGATGTTTTCCATGTCTCTCTTCTCAAGCCGCACCAGGGACCTCCTCCGGATCCCATGGGCAGTCTTCCTCCCACACCTAGAAACAATGGCACCGCAACTCCCCAGGCCATTCTTCGCAGCCGTTTGTTGAATGGCAGCTGGGAGCTCTTGGTTCAGTGGCAAAGGGCAGCACTTAGATGAGGCAACATGGGAGTCACTCCGGTCTTTTCAGTCCCAATACCCTAACTTCAAGCTTGAGGAGAAGCTCTTTCTCAAGGAGGGGAGTGATGCTACCAACCAGTTTTTGGTCGGACATACAAAAGAAAAGGCCAAAGAGGAACAGATGAAGTTAAAGGAAAAAGTGGCTAAGGAAAAAGATTGGGGTATATATATCATAGATCAATACAAAACTGTCTTAGTTCACCATTTTCTTGAGAGGGAACTTTTAATCTGTTGAAATATAAACTAGAATGATATTGAAGACAACTTTTTATTGTCGACTATTGAAAAAAGGTTGAAGTTAACGGAGCAACATTGATCTGAAAAGTTAATGCGACGACTATTGAATAAACTAGAATGATATAGATCATAGATGAAGTTAATGGGGCAATATTGATCTGAAAAGTCCAAAAAGGTTGTTTTGAAAAGTTTTCCAAGTAGGACATTCTGCATAGTTGCCGCAGACAGTGTTGACACTAGGTGTTGCAGTGGTTGATGGGGGACTTTGGCAGATGAAGTGTCTACTAATGGTGGTGCTTCTAGAGCTGTGAAGGATTCCACCTATTGAAAAAAGTGGCATACCCAGTGCTAATTCCACCATGTGCACTGCATTTTGCAGCTTGTACAGGTTTCCTTAGCTTGTCAACTTGTGCAGTTCCTTCTGTGTCTCTAAAAGGAGAGTTGTGTACTAATCAGCGGAAAGAGTGATACTCCCCATTATGCCAGAAACAGATCCAAATTGGTGCAGTCACTCAACACTAGGTTCAAGCTTTCAAGCTTGAGGGCAACCTTGGGCATGCTACTCACAAGAGGCTTGATGATTAAGTAGATAAAGTCCTAATACAATAACTCATTAAGGCTAATACTTACTAAATCAAATACTACTAATAGGAATAACAAATGAGCTCGAACAGTCAACCTAATTGGACATGTCTTCTATATGCCTAATCCTCGGATAATGCTGAGGTTTAGCAAAGTGTCGTGTCGTGGCAGTAATGGGTTTCGCCAACGAATGCTTCTAAATCGCTTATTGCTCCCATAATTGGGAAATTTTAACTTTTACATCAGCATACTAACGGCTAGAATGAAAAGAGGAATGCCAAGTAAGTAAATACAGTTTCACATAGCTTCATATTAGTAAAATGGAAAAGTTAATGTAATGACCTGGTATTGCTCTAGAAGAAGGTGTCCAGGAAGCTCAGGATCCAAAACATTTTCAAACTGACAAAAAATGATAATATATATAATATCATATCTAAATTACACTTAAAATCATGCAAATGAAAAGATGAAAAGAAGTTGTAAAAGGAACAGAATGAATAAAAATTACGTCTTTATTATGATCAGAGCAGCACTAGTCTTGATACAATCAGCAACTACATTAATTAATAGCTAGTGTTACCTTGTCCATGATGGTACTAAGGAGTGCTACACCAATGTGCCGCATGTTCTCAAATTGGATGGTGCTGATCTACAGAGAGTGATTCCAGGAGATATTTTAAAAAATTTATTGCAATGAAAACAGTCATAAGTTGCAGAAGATTTCTTTCTCCCACCTGATAAGCCAGTGAAATGAGCTCTTGTAAATGCAGAACGAGCCAATCACCAGACTGAGGTCCTTTAGCAGGTTTCTGTCTCGCTACATCAAGGTCAAAATGAGCAGGACTTTTTCCAACTGCTGCCGGTATGTGGCTCAAGCATCTGAATTGAAGACCAACAAGCTTCATGATAGCTCTTCTAGTACTGAAATACATACATCAAAATAAAATAATAGAATTGAAAAGTTTGCTAACTTACTCAGCAGCAAAAACCTTGGTTCGATATCTAAGGTGCTTGTTTTTGGAAGAAATGCTGGAATAAACAGAAGCAAAACTCTCAACAGATGGCCTTTTCGAACTGGAGACCATGCTTTCTTCATCTCCACTAAAATACAATCTTGTCTCGCCACCAGGACCACTCAAATCACTCTCATTGTTGTCACTAAACTTGACATCCCTTGATGATAAAGCGAGAATCTAAGTCAAAGTAATTTTGTTCCAAAAATACATGTCAGTTTTAAGTTAACATTCTCAATCAATTGAAATTAGCAATCTCCGCTATAATAATAACAGCATCAATAACAACAAACGTTAATAATAACAACCACTGCTGCTAGTGGTCTACATTATAATTGTTGAGATTTGATATGATTCTAAATGATATCCTTCCTGATTTTAGCATTAATTGTACAGATTGTGTCAAATCAGGACTTAGTAATTGATAGATGTACATTTGATTCTTTCCTTGTAAGTTGTAATTCTGAAACTTATAAATAAAGATCAGCTGAGAGTAGTTTCTCTCAAGCAAATTCATTCAAATCAGTAAAATCAAGTTGGTATCAGAGCCTCATCCTCACTTGCCCTAGTCGTCCCTGCAGCCAATCTTCATCGAGATTGGTCTGCTCGCACTAGGAATAAAAGTCCTAGTCATTCCAGATTGTGCCCAGATTGTGCCCAAGTCAGTGTACGTCATGTCGACCCCTGACTCTTCAAGGAGTCTTGTGTCCTTGGTCTTTTCTGGGAATCCCCAAATAACTTCTGAAAAACTTAACGGCAGAAACTACATGGATTGGCAAGTTTCTGTTGAAATGTGGTTCTTAGGCCAAGGTTTGTCTGATCATTTGACCAAAAGAGACGATGAGATAAGTGCATCTGAAAAGGAAAAATGGACTCAAGCAGATCATCATCAGTTGGTTGCTATTCTGTGGCAGTCCATTGATCCCAAACTGTTGATCCACTTCCGCACATACAAGACATGTTATGACATTTGGAAGAAACCTAAAAGTGTGTTCGCGAATGATGTCCAACAGATTTATGATGTTGTTCATAGCCTTGCAACGCTCCAAATGTCAGACCATGACCTTCCATCATATGTGAATAAGGCACAATCCATTGTTGAAGAGGTTAAGGTGATGTTGAGCGAAACTAATCTGTCTAAAGTGTTTGATAAATTTGATAAAATGTGTATGGTATTTGTTCTCCATGGACTTCATAGGGATTTTGATTCAGTGCGGAATCAAATCCTAACGAATCCAAACATTCCCACTGCTGAAGACCTTACTAGTCGACTGTTGCGAGTTCCTGCATTAAATGGAATTGAAAATGTTGGTCCTCACACAGATTCAGGGTTCTCTGCTCTTTTATCTCGTTCTAGCTATGGCAGTCGTGGTCATGGGCGTGATAGAGGAGGGCGTAGCACTGGTGGCACTGGTGGTCGACCTAAGTGTAGTCATTGTCAGCGCATGGGTCACACCAAAGACAAATGTTATGAAATTATTGGTTGGCCAGACAAATCTGCTAATGTAATGCACTCCGAACCGGTGATACTTGGGGAAGCAGCTAAAAGCACCCAGAATGTTCTGTCAGATGATGAATATAAAGAGTATCTCATCATGCCTCAGCCACAGTCAACTGTACTGGTAATTCTGCGGCATGCCTTTCTTAATCATCACCTCTCAAATCTTGGATCATAGATTCCGGTGCCTCTGACCACATTGCCGGTAATCCTTCTCTTTTCTCAAAGTTATCAGCACACCATGTCACTCTTGCTGATGGTTCAAAAGTTAAAGCCGTTGGTGTTGGACAGGCCACACTCCATCCTTCTTTATCTCTTAATTCTGTTCTTTTGATCCCTGGTTATCCTTTCAACTTGGTGTCAGTCAGTCAACTTACACGTGATCTTAATTGTGTTGTCACCTTTATTGATGATTCTTTTTCTATACAGGACCGGAGTACGGGACAGATGATTGGAGCAGGATTTGAATCTCAGGGTCTATACTACTTTCAGACTTCCTCTTCAGTTGCTTACACTGTTGTGGAGTCTCCTTCTTTGCTTTACCAACGTTTAGGTCATCCTAGTCTCAATAAATTGAGGAGAATGGTACCTCAAGTTTCCCATTTACAGTCCTTAGCCTGTGAGTCGTGTCAAATTGGTAAACATGTTAGAACATCTTTCCAAAAGAGTCATAGTCGTGCAGAATCTCCCTTTTATCTTGTTCATTCAGATGTTTGGGGTCCAAGTCGTGTCAGTTTTGTTTTAGGATTTCGGTACTTTGTTATCTTTGTTGATGTTTTTCAAGATGTACGTGGCTTTATTTAATGAAAGAACGTTCAGAGTTATTTGGCATTTTCAAAAGTTTCTGCAATGAAATAAAAAATCAGTTTGATCATACCATTCGTGTTCTACGTAGTGATAACGCCAAGGAATTTTTCTCAATAAATTTCAATGAATATATGGTTACTCAAGGGATAATTCATCAATCCACATGTCCCCACACGCCTCAGCAAAATGGGATTGCCGAAAGAAAACATCGACATATCATTGAAACAGACCGCACACTACTGGTTCATGCCAATGCCCCACTAAAATTCTGGGGAGATGCTGTCCTCACAGCTGTTCATTTGATCAATCGAATGCCATCTTCTACATTGGATAACAAAGTACCACACTCTATCTTGTTCCCAAAGGACCCCATTTTCCTTGTTCCCCCCAAAGTCTTTGGTTCTACTTGTTTCGTGCAGGATCTTTCCCCTGGTCTTGATAAATTATCTCCACGAGCAATCAAATGCATATTCCTTGGCTACTCTAGAGTCCAAAAGGGTTACCGTTGCTATTCACCTTCTACTCACCGTTTTTCTATACTTCTGCAGATGTCACTTTCTTTGAGGATCAACCATATTTCACTTCACCGGTGGAAGTTGAATCTGTCTCTCAAGTCTTACCTATTCCTCATCTTACCCCATTGTCACCTCTCAGTCCTCCATTGTCTTCTTCCAAGCCTCTCATTACTTATCATCGTCGACTGCGGTCTGCACCTAATGAGGACGTCCCTAATAATGACCTTGTAGATTCATCTCCAGCTCCATCTCCTTTACCTACTCCGGACCAACCTGAGGCACCGACTCAACCTAATGTTCCAATTGCAACTGGAAAAGGTATACGTTCCACTCGGAACCCGCATCCTATTTACAATTTTTTAAGTTATCATCGTCTATCTCCTTCCCATTATGCTTTTGTGTCTTCCATCTCTTCTGTTTCCATCCCTAAAATTGTCCAGGAAGCTCTTGCCCATCCAGGATGGCGCCAAGCTATGCTTGATGAGATGGCTGCCCTTGAAATTAAACGTACTTGGTCTGTTGTTCCCTTGCCCCACGGGAAATCTACTGTTGGTTGTCGTTGGGTGTTTACAATCAAAGTTGGTCCTGATGGACAAGTTGATCGGCTGAAAGCACATTTGGTTGCTAAAGGGTTTACTCAAGTTTTTGGCTTGGATTATGGTGACACTTTTTCTCCGGTTGCAAAAATGACTTCTGTACGTTTGTTCTTATCTATGGCAGCTATGCGTAGCTGGCCCTTACATCAGCTGGACATAAAAAATGTTTTCCTTCATGGTAATTTACAAGAAGAAGTTTACATGGAGCAACCACCAGGGTTTATTGCTCAGGGGAAGTGTAGATATGTGTGCCGGTTGCATAAGGCCTTGTATGGTCTTAAACAATCCCCACGAGCGTGGTTTGGCAGATTCAGTACAGCTCTCAAACAGTTCGGGATGATTCAATGCAAAGCAGAACACACCGTGTTCTATAAAAAATCTTTATCTAATCAATCTACTTACCTTGTTGTTTATGTTGATGATATTGTAATAACAGGGGATGATCATGATGGCATAAAGAATCTTAAATTGTACTTGTCCCAGCAATTTCAAACAAAAGACTTGGGACGACTTCGTTACTTTCTTGGAATCGAGGTAGCTCAATCCAAAACTGGTATTGCCATATCCCAAATAAAATATGCTCTTGATACTCTGAAGGAAACCGTGATGACAGATTGTAAGCTGATTGATACTCCAATTGATCCAAATGTTTGACTTTTGCCAGATCAGGGAGAGCCTATCTCCAATCCTGAAAGATATCGACAGCTTGTGGGAAAGTTAAATTATCTCACTATGACCAAACCAGACATCTCCTTTGCCGTGACCGTGGTTAGTCAGTTCCTCAACACGCCATGTGATAGTCATTGGGATGCAGTCGTTCGAATCCTAAGATACATCAAAGGTTCACCTGGAAGAGGACTGGTTTATGCAAACCGGGGTTATGACAATATTACTGCGTATTTAGATGCGGATTGGGCCGGCTGTCCAAACGATAGGAGATCAACTTCAGGGTACTCTGTTCTCATTGGTGGAAACCTAATATCCTGGAAGAGCAAGAAACAGAGTGTCGTTGCTAGATCAAGTGCTGAAACAGAGTATCGAGCCATGGCTCTCACCGCTTGCGAACTTATATGGTTGAAACAATTATTATCTGAGTTAAAGTTTTGCAAACTGAAGCCTATGAAACTGGTCTGTGATAACCAGGCAGCTTTATACATCGCTTCTAACCCTGTTTTTCATGAACGAACAAAACATATAGAAATCGATTGTCATTTTATCCTTGAAAAGGTCATTTCTGGAGAAATATTCACATCCTTTGTTAATTCAAATGATCAGTTAGCTGACTTTCTCACTAAGTCACTCCGCGGTCCGAGGATAAGATATATTTGTGACAAGCTTGATGCATATGATATCTATGCACCAGCTTGAGGGGGAGGGTTGAGATTTGATATGATTCTAAATGATATCCTTCCTGATTTTAGCATTAATTGTACAGATTGTATCAAATCAGGACTTAGTAATTGATAGATGTACATTTGATTCTTTCCTTGTAAGTTGTAATTCTGAACCTTATAAATAAAGATCAGCTGAGAGTAGTTTCTCTCAAGCAAATTCATTCAAATCAGTAAAATCAAGTATAATAATACTACGTCCATCCCAAAAGAACATAAAAAGAATCTGGTTTGGATGAGGTACACCTTTAATATTTTGTCAACTCACACAAGGTAAAGGAGTTTACAAGTTATGAATGACCACTTATACCCATAAAAACTTATTTTCAAGATTGGAATAATATACTAGAACCGCTTGACAGTTGGCTTTTGA